AACGACCATCCTCGCACCACTTCCGCCGCGCTGATCCTGTGCCCGCTCGCCATGAGCAACGACACGCCCACGCCCATCTCGGACGACGAAGTCGTGGCCCTTACAAAGGCCGCCTTCGAGCACTCCCGCCAGGACATCACCCAACGCGCCGCCGCAGAGGCGCCCCGCGAGTTGCAGCAGCAGCCCGGCATCACCATCGACCTGGGCCACAAGAACATTGCCCGCCTGCCCGACGAAGTCATCGATGTCATACGGACAGAGATTGAAAGGTACATGCGATACACAACCCCACCTTACCTCTGTCTTCGATAGGGGAAATGCTGACATGTCAGGCTCGCCCTCTCCCACAATCTCCTTGCCACCCTCCCCTCCCGCCTCATTGAATGCAGACGCCTCCGCTATCTCAATGTGCGCTACAATGCCATGCGGGAGATCCCCGATGCCGTACGTTGGCCCCCCCTTTCCGGAACACACATGTCGCGACTAGACCGCTGACGCTCATTAGATCCTCGAGATGACCTCGCTAGAAATCCTCGACGTCAGCCGGAACAAGATCCGGTCTGTCCCCACTAAGATTGCAAACTTAACCTCGCTCAAGGTGCTGGCAATTGCAAAGAACAAGATTGAGGAGCTGCCCGTATGTCTGGGAGAGATCAATAGCTTGCAGGTCCTCAAGCTCGATGGCAATCCGCTGGTCTTCCCCCCGCCCGAAGTGTGCACCATCAAGGACAACGCCCCCTCACCCGCAAACGAGAACGAACGAGATGCCGTCATAGCTACGCAGGTCAAGCGGTTTATGCGCCAACACATATCCAGAGAACGCCAGCGGGTTGAACTAGAAAGAGTGCGAGTCGAATTTTCGGGAGATGAGAGCTGGACCGAGAGCAACCCAGAAACTCCCCGCCCCTCGAAACGAGCAAACGGCGGACGCTTCCCGGTGCGACCGAGTCTAGGCAATATAGAAGGCTTTTCTGACCCCAAGCCTGACTCTCCTGGACATCCCATTCCGCCCATCCCAGTTCGTTCCCACTTTCGCGTTGCGTCTACGACAAGTAATGGTGCCAGCACTGGCATTACTGTTACCAAGAGGCCCCCGATCGCTCCCCTAGTCTTGACGAACCCAAACAACGAGCGTAACCGTAGCCAGAGCGAAGGGTCCGGTCCCTCATCGCAGCGCCAAAAGCGTATGGGTATTTACACCAACAAGACGTCTGAGCTGGCATCAGTCAACGAGCTGCGACAAACCAACCATTTCCGTGGCTTCAGTCAGGGCGTTCTGGTCCCCGCTAATGCTGCTTCGAACGGCTTCCCTTCATCTGGGGCCTATGAAGACACTGGTACCGTCCGATATCTCGCAAACCGTCCGTTGTCTGATGTCCGTGAACACCGACGTGGGTCACGTGCGCCTGATATCGTTGTCGAAGCGGCAAAAAACTTCCTTTATGCTATTTCTCAGCTCCACGATTGTGTCTCGCACATGGTGCGCTCAATTAAGCTGACGGCTAAGACTAAAGAAAGTTTGCGACGCAAAGAAGACTTCTATCGCAGGTACTCGACTACCTACCTCAATATCAGAGCACTTAACGAGGTCTTGCACAAATTTGACACACTAGTCGAAGAGGACGAAGAAGAAGCGCAGAAACTGTCGAGAAGTGTCTACATGTACGCGCTGAGGTGTCTCGACTCATTCATGTCCATTACTCTTTCAGTCGCCGAGAATCGCATCGAGATTGCTCAAAACGCAAATGCACGTATTATGCGGACCTTTGTGCTTCTCCAACAAGGAAGTTTGATCGAGATGAGGAATGCTTGTTCAATACTAGGCGCACAGTTCAGAGACACTTCTGCTGCAGCAACGAGACCCACTGGAGCTGATAACCTCGCAACGGTACGCGCGCGACCGTCGAGAGCTCGCCGCTTCCTGACATCACCGCCGCAGCAGCGGAGCGGATGGCAAATGCCCCCACCAGTCATTCTCCACAGCAACGAAAACAGCCGATCAAACACCCTGACGAGCATTGGTGCCGTAACCCCTCGCTCGGGAGGTTCCTTTTCTACCACTGCGCCAGGCATGACGCGATCCAATACGCTTACTAGTAGCTTTGATGAAACGGATGAAGACGCTCAGTTTGACAGAATCTATACAAAGCTCCGGAACGCATCCGAAGGCTGCAGAAACTCCATGGCTCAGATTACGCGCATGATGCGAGAGCAGTTTGATAGTTTGCGGCGTGACCTTGACTCCGAGGATCCTCGAATCAAGGCACTAGCGAACCTCATTGACAAGAGTAATGAAGTCCAGCAAATGGCAAACCCTCTTGCACTTCGCCTATCACAGATGCAGCTCAAAGACAACTATACCCGGGACCAGCCTGAGTTTTGGCAGCAATGTATGGGTTTCGTCAAGGTATGTACAATCACGCCTACACAAGGCCAAACTGTTAAGACTGGCAACTAACACAATCATTGCAGGCTTGGCAGGAACTCGCTGCAGCATACACCCAGCAGGGTAGAGAACACAAGCTACTCACTAGCGAAGTCAAACAGCTCATGCGGCCGCTGCACAAGATGGTCAAAGAAGCGAGCCTGGCTATCAACGACAGTCCATGGTCACACCTTACTAGTAACAACATCGGCATGATGGGTCCACCGAGCCTAGCGTCGTTCACATCACGGACCCAACCACCCAAGGTTCTACATAAGCCCAATGGAACCATGTCGTCGAGTGGCGGACCGTCCTTCCCTGGTCCGATCAACACGGCAATACCTGCGATGGCATCTGTATTCTCTGGACAGCCTTACTCCACGGCAAGCTTTGGATCGCAGGGGTCGGGCGGGTACAGCACGCCGGTTCCTGCGACGCCGTTAAGTGCTGCATTGGGTGCAGCAGCCCAAGCAACCATCCCAAATACACCCAGAATGCCTTCACAAGGGTCCAACACACTCAATGTCTTTGAGCGTGCCGATCGCCTCTTGAGTCAAACAAGCCGGCGCGTATGATTGTGTTCGACAAGAGTTGAGGGGTGTCGTTATCCTGCATCAAATCACGGATACTGTTAAACATCCATTCTTCGGCCGCAGCATACGAGATTTCACATATCCAGGCTTCACGCCAAACAGCAGTAAGGTATCTATACATTTCCTTTTTCATTATGCCTTTCCCCTCCCTATTGTCTCTGCCTAAAACTGGTTTTCGGCTATCTGCACAACATTAGCGACGGCGTTTGTCCGGATTTCACTCCTTTTCTTGTTCTGTCTTACTGCACATGGATAGCATCTTGCAAATTTGCATATCGGGAAACACGGCGTTTGAAGTCTTGCGTTTTTTTTCGTTATTTGCATGTACTAGGCGTCTTTTTGCTTGATTGAATATGGGATCGTTTGGTGGGTGGGTTAGTTGGAGGGAATGGCAAAGCTGGATAGACGGGAGGCCACTGGTGGAATTGACGTGATTGAATGGGCTATGCATGCGATGTGCATCTTAATGTTTTGTATGAAATGGCAGTAGTCATGGTTGTGTGGGTGGAACATCGGACCACACGTATAGACTAAAAGAGGAATTGCCGGCATTTCTTCTTGATTAAAAGTTATGAATGGGTGAGGGGTGGGGGATATGGGTTAGGAGGAAAAATAAGAACAGAGTAGACCATGCATGTGTGTGAAACATCAATGGCAGTATAATGGGAGTGTTCTGCTTATCTACTGGTGTTTATAAGTGTCATTCCCGCTCCGATTCCTTCTCAAAAAAAAGGAAAAAATAAATGTACAAAAATCAACTTTTCGATATAACAACTGCTCTCCATTTTTAACATCTTTTTTTTCTCTGCTTGCTATATAGCGTATCAGATCAATTATCTCAGAAATAAATGGCAGGCCATACCCCAACCTGCCGCAATCAGGTATTAAAAATATGACTTTGCAGTCAAAGTAAAAGGATTCGGATGAGCATCAACGAGACCTTCGCTCGAACCCTAAAAAATCGTTCGGTAATATGTGTAAACCTTTCAATGGGTATATGACCATTAGGCACATCCTATTTTTTTCGAAGCTGGGAAATCCAGCTTCTCTCTAGAGAGGTCTCATCTATTTTTATTTTATAAGAGCCGTCGACTTGACTTTCTTTTCTGCTTGCTATATAGCAAGTCAGATTGATTTTTCTCAAAAAAAAACAATTCAAGCCGGGCCCCCCACCCCCGGTCTAGCTCAATCGGGTATCAAAAAAGACTTCGCAGAGAAAGTCCAGGTTCTACTAGATAGAATAGACTCCAGCCGCACACACATAGTCTCTTAGTAACGCGACTTTGCAGGGAAAGTCTCGTGTTCAGATTGGGGTATGTCAGCGGTTCTGAGCTGGAGTCTGTTCTCGGTAACATATGCTTTGGGTATATGTAGTTCGGAATCCAGGATGAATGGTTTGGTAATACTACCAACATCTTCTCCGGTTGGTAGTATATTAAATCTTATTAATTTAACGTGCTTTCTGGAACCTTCATTATGGTACATCGAAGTGTGGAGCCCGGGCCGTACAGTGGTGGATCACAGCCTGAACTGTCTAGTAATATAATGGGTTGTTCACTATGGCTATGTGGTAGCGGGTCCGCCAGTTGAGCAGCTGTTACAGTGGCTATGGGCGATTCAATTTGGTATCCACTACATTGACTTGGTTGGCAATGTTCAGTGGCCGACATGGTAGTCGCATTGGTTTTTGTCGCAGTGCCAGTTGGCTTCAGCTAGGTTCTTGAAACTGATCATGCATGGCAACAATGGCCATTGTCCATCAGGTCTTATTACTGTTTTGAATGTGCACTGGTTCCTAGTGCAGACATCGAGTAAGTTTAGAGACACACAAAGATACTGGGTGTCTTGCACGTAAATTCCTCGCCGAGACATCCACTTTTGCCTTGACCAACCAAAAATGAGGGTTCGTGTACAGTATTCTATCACCGAATAGGTGGCTGTGCGGAATCGACCAACCCTATGTAAGACATGGGTACAAACATCTACACCCTGCGTAATTTTGAGATTGGTGCTGGTGGAAGGAGAAGTGGCCTTTTGCACGCAGTGTAACCTTGCGGTGCAGGATATTTTCGGTCCAGCCACGCGTTCCACAGCATCACCGAAGCCGTACTTGACGACCAGTAGAGCATTAGAGCCGCGGGAAGGTTCTGACAGAGTGGACCAACCAACAGCGAAACAAAGAGCAAAGTTCGCCGAAGGGTATTTGGCCATTTGGCACCACTCTCAACGGTATTTTTCGAGGTGTAGATGTTTGCAAACATGATGCCCGATGCGATGAACGGAAGGGCACCAGTTGGGTCCGGGAGAAGCAGGTCCGGGAACCAGAGCATACCCTCTGTGGCTAGAGTTGGCTCGAACCAGTCGGTGGGAGTTACCCGTGCAACAACTTGGCCCGTTTCCGTCGTCATCCGCGTACTCTCGCCTCTGAAAACGGACATGGCCATACCCAGCAATCCGTCCTGGGCACCACATTTCTGGCGTATAGTTTCGGCCATAGCAAAGAAGATGGGTATCTGCGCCAATGTCCAACTAATCTGACCAGAGAGAGAGACATTCCACCTTTTGTCCAATGCTGATGTGACGTCCTTGACTTCCTTTTTGACTGTGACGAGAGCTTGCTGGGTCGACCGGAAATTACCCCGCTTCAGGATCTCGTCTCGCTTTTGGAAGGCAAGAGCTTGTCGCAACGGGTGCAGACCAACGTATCGCGCCATGAGAGCGCGTGCACGTGTTCCAGCAGTAGTGACAAGCAGACCGCGAGCGACAAAGGCACTGATGGGGATGGCGGCATACCAGGGGACAGCCGTGTGGATCAGCGATATCATTTCGTGCGGAAGGTAGAGGATAGCATCAATGATGGGATCCTGTCGTGGTGTCGAAGCATGAAATGAGCGTGCCGAGGGACGACATGGCGAAGCTCTGGATACCACCACGTTCCTTCGAAGTAATTGGCATGCTGGATGCCGTAGTGAGCAAGAGGATAGCATTGTGGTGTGATGTTTTCAGCTCGCGGCTTCACAGGAACATATCGGACTCCCGAGACGAAGATGGCCCCACTATCCACTACCACTAGCGCCAGGGTCCCATGCTCCCCGGGCCGGCGCCAGGAAACCGTCATCCCACCGCATGGACAGCTGCCGGAACACTCACCCTCCATGGATTGACAGTCCACTGCTCTGACCAAGATGGGTGTGCTGCTCATCCTCCTGTCGCTGCTTGCGCCTGCACTTGTGGCCGCTCTTTTTCTCTCCAAGACGCTACGCTTTCTTGCAGGACTAGTGGGACAGCATCTCCGTCGATCCTCCCGTACACGACGCGAGCTTTTACTGGCTAGGGTAGCAAGCGAAACCAAAGCCTATGAGGCCGACCTGAAAGACAAGAAGAAGGAGGATGACGACTGGGAACAAGTGGGGACTACACCTCCAACAAGTGCAGTCAAGGTCGGCCAAACGAACAGCGACTGGGACGGCATCGTAGGCTTCTTTCACCCCTTCTGGTATGCATGACGAGCTTTAGAACACAGGAGCATAGTCGCTGATAATTTACTTGCACAGCAATGCGGGCGGTGGCGGCGAACGAGTCCTTTGGGCTGCCATCCGAGCACACCAAAAGCGCTGGCCAAAGTCTACTTGTATCGTGTATACCGGTGACCACGATGTTGACAAGGCAGAGATACTCAAGCGAGTTAAGGATCGCTTCAATATCCAACTGTACCCGCCAACCGTTCACTTCCTCTACCTGACAACTCGCGATTGGGTGCTTGCAAGCAGATGGCCACGCTTCACCCTGCTAGGACAGTCTCTCGGGTCGTTGGTTCTTGCTTACGATGCTTTCTCACTCCTCGTCCCAGACATCTTCATAGATACCATGGGATACGCATTTGCTCTCGGTCTCTCTTCATTCCTCTTTCCCACTGTCCCGACTGGCGCATACGTACATTACCCAACCATCTCGACCGACATGCTCGACTCGCTACAAGTGGGGGGACAGGGTGTTCATGCTGGAACTGGGTCAGGATACCGTGGGCAAGCAAAGAAGAAATACTGGGAGCTGTTCGCAAAGCTCTACAGCAAAGTCGGTAGCACCGTCGATGTAGTCATGACCAACTCCACATGGACACAAGGTCACGTCAGATCACTCTGGGGGCCATACCGCAACAAGCGAAGCAAGCAAACTGAGATTGATGTCGTCTTCCCACCTGTCGCAGTTGAAGAAGTCGCAGAGGCCGTCCAAGTTTCCGAGGCTAGTGAGAAGAACCGTGGGCCTTACCTCCTCTACATTGCGCAATTCCGACCTGAGAAGAACCACCAACTCATCCTCGAGGCTTTTGCGTCATTTGTGCAATCCAAACCCAAACTTCTAGCATACCCCAACGAGACTCCAAAGCTAGTGCTGATAGGCTCAGTGCGCAACTCGCACGATGATGCTAAACGGGTTTACCAGCTGCGACTTCTTGCGCATGAGTTGCACATCAAGGACAACGTAGAGTTTATATGCGACGCGCCATGGCCCTTGATGTTGGAGTGGATGCGCAAGGCTAGCGTAGGAGTCAATGCCATGTGGAACGAACATTTTGGCATTGGTGTGGTCGAATATCAGGCCGCGGGTATGATCTCTGTTGTCAACAATACCGGTGGTCCGAAGCTGGATATTGTAGTGGAAGTTGACGGAAAGCCTACAGGTAAGTTCTGATATATGTGACATTAGAATTTCTGTAAGCAAGTTCAACTGTTGCTGACACGAACCGTACAGGTTTCCATGCTACCACTGCACAAGAATATGCAGATGGCTTCCGCAAAGCCCTGACACTGTCGCCACAGGAGACTTTGGATATGCGCCGCCGTGCGCGCAAGTCTGCTGAGCGCTTCACAGACAAGACTTTTGCCGACAAATGGATCAAGAACGCGGAGAAGTTGGTCGCTCTGCAGATTGAACGGGCGCCTAAGTGAGGGAGTAAGCTACTCTTCCGTCTTTCTAGCTCTCCACAGTCAGAAAAAAAATGTAATCATGGCGTTTGTACTGGACTAATACTTCTTTTGCATTCTTTCCTTCCTTTTTGATACCACACGTTAGAGTTAGCATTTAGCAAAGGGTGTATCATAGTTGCATGTTTGTTGTGGAGGCCAAAAAAATTCAACATTCAATTGAAGCTTCGCAAGTTCAATCATCACCAGTGCAACACAACGGTATAAGACAAAAGTTTAGAAGAAAAAAGGCAGCCGCCCATAAGGACGTTGCAGAATAAAGCTTTTAGTATTCCCTATTCATCCATTCCTCTCCTAATCCAATAGCCTAATCTAGATAATAAGTAAATAGGCCACGAGCAGTTTGCCTTCACACTCCCCTTCTAATTCTTGGCTTTGCAGTAAAGTCCAATGGGTATACAATTCATGAAATGCCATGATTGTTCGTCTTGTTCCTGTCACCTTCCCCTTCCGTATCCTTGTTCATCAACAAGTGTTCGCATAAAAAAATAGCAAAAGCATTAGGTAGTCCGAATACGCCGGGGTGCCCAAAAAAATCGCAGACTACCAGATTGTGATATGTATAGTGAAAGGGAAATAGATAGTTGGTTATCATCAACATCCAAAGGCGAAAGAAAGAAATGATGGTCATTTGCTGAGCCAGCCTAGCCAAACGACACATCTTGCAGTATATGATAGTAACATAATCCTTTTTTAATCTTTTTTTTCAAAGACGTTCAAGTTCCTGGAATCGCTGGACTGGATCGGCAAACGATCGTGTGAGACCAACTGAGGCCCAAAAGTCGTCGCTGATATCTTCGCGAGAAGCAAGACGTTCAAGCAATGATCGTGCGTCGCGGAGTTCCTGGTCCAACGGCGTAGAATCGGCCCGTGTGAGCGGGGGAGTCTCTGCCTCACTTGTGCTCGCGGGCTCGTCAGCCGGCCCATCGAGCTGTGAAGACATCTGGAGCCTTTGTGGCTCTTCCGTCTGACTAATTCTCCAGTTGGCTCGGTTGTAGTAGTTGTGGATGTAGTCGCTGGAGTCGCGGGATCGGTCAATCACACGGAGCGAGTAGCGATCTGCATCTCGGGCGGGAGGGTCGCTGGAGAAGTATGATGGACGCATTCGGCGATGGGGAGCCGTCGAGTTTGAGAGACCGAAGCCATCCCTCGAGCGTTCCACCTGGGCGCGGCGCATGGGAGCAGGCACGTCTGTCTCTTCCTCTTCGGTATCCGAAGCCGTGTCGTTGTCCGAAGTATCGCAAGCGCGCAGGAACTGGTCGTGTTGTGGAGGACTTGGTAGTCGCGAAGGAACTGTAAGGTGGGTTTGTGAAGATGCTGCAGAGTTTGAACTTCCTGATCGCGAACTTGTGTGAGAGTTTGAGAACGAGGCCGAGGCTGCAGCTGACGCAAATGACGATGCAGCAGTGGGTGCAACGGGGTCATCAACCACAGTCGTAAGGAAGCTGTCCCAGTGCAGTTGGTCGTCAAGTGGACTGACGCTGCGATTGCGGTCGCCCAAGCCATCAAGAGCAGGCACTGGACTCCAAGACTCACGTAACGAGCTACTGGGTAATGGTCCGTCGGCAATAGTGCGGCGACCCATTCTGCGCAACGGCGGAAATGCTACAGCGTTGTTGTCACTGCTTTCGTGGTCTTCCTCGGGCGCGCTTGCAGTATCACTTCTTGCCGCAGATCGGTCAGCGCGGGGGCTCCGTGAACGGGTCAATCTCGGAGGGGCAGCGCGGCGATACGACGCCCTCTCCCGCATACGGGAAAACTCTCGCGCGCTGTGCGTCGTGTCTGATTCTGAGCTCTGTGAAGCTGCTGCGGGTGCAAAGCCGGGGGTAAAGACAGCGATGGGGCGATCAGTCTCCAGGGCTCTGCGCGCCGCATATGAACGCATGAATTCATCGAGGCGATTGCGCGAACGATGCAGGGTGCTATTGGGGCCCAGAGGTGCAGGTGAGTTGGCCGCAGCCTCGTTGCCGCGGTAGTCGGTTCTCGAGAGTTCAGGCACTGGTGGTGGCGCCAGGCGCGTGCGATGCGACGAGCGTGGTATCCATTCGATGACGGGAGCAGAGCCAGAGGCGGCTATGAGGAACTCAGTGTCGAGCGTGCTGTTTGGTCGTGGCGATCTGTTCGGTCTGACGCGACGGCGGATGGGTGAGCGATGGCCCGTCAAGTCGGCTCTCAGTACGTCCTTATCCTTTGCCTCGTCGCGCTTAATGTTCCATCCGATGGGAATGCCCATTGCGCATCAAAGAGTGGGTTGTAAGTATTTGGAAAAGATGAGTGGAGTTGTGTTGTTGATGGTGACGCGCGTAGACGGGTGGGCTGGGGATGGTCGGAGGAGGGAACTAAGGCGGCGGAGCGGCGCAGGTCGCACCCACCTAAAACAGTGCAGCGGCAGTAAGGCTGAGAAGCGTCTGGGGATGCGTAGAGAACCGCCGATGGGATGCAGTTGAGCGAACAGGTGCCTGGGTAGGCCTCAAATACAAAAAAGAATAGACCGGTTGTATGTATCACCTCGCCATGTTATTCTGATACTCCTTTCACCCTCTGCACAGCCCCCAGGCTGCAACTGCCTAACAACTGGTCGTCTCTGGCAGGCGCGGTGGTGTTCGCCAAGCCATGGTTGCCTCTTGCGGTATAGTCGCTTTTTTCGCGCAGCCTCTGGTCCAGTTGCCACAGTGAGTCAACCACCACCTGCAGGAACCTCGTTTCAGACCATCGCCCGTAGAGACGGCCATGATCCAGCCCGGCCTGGGACGGATCAGCCAGCTCCTGAGGAATGCAGAATTCCCATGGAAGTCGATACACGTTGCTGGTACCAACGGCAAGGGATCCATTTGCCATTATGCCTCGCACCTGATCAAACGTAAGAAGATCAAGGTTGGCAAATTCACTTCTCCCCATCTTGTAGACAGGTAGGCACACCGTCGCCTGGCCCTTCATTGTCTAACCTCTGCAGATGGGACTGCATCACCATCAACAATCAGCCCGTTAACGAGTTGCTCTTC